CAAATATCCTTGACAGCAATAAAGTGCCACTTGATCTGTGAATTGGAGTGAGACTTTGGCTGAGGTTCCTGGACCCACCAGTTAGCATAGGCCACTTCTAGAATTCAGATGGTGTGATTATTTGTCATGAAATGTGACTACTGCACAAGAGTCTTACTAATATTATCCCTTGTATTTAACTAGTTATAGCATATAATGCTTTTAGTTAGAATGTATTTTAGCCAGAGGAGTAGAATGACAGAGGAAGGCAAGTCATCTCTCTGAAATTGTGACACCACTAGTAGAAGTCTAAAGTTTTAATTAAAGAAATTCATGCTTAGAACCTTGATAAAGCAATGCAAGTTGTTAAGTCTTTTTTGAATTGGATGATTTGGAGTTAGCTTCAAAAATACAATTGTGTCTAAAACAGCTAAGAGTGTTTTTGTAAGTTTGCTTAGCAAGTTTACTTGCAGTATAGTATTATTCTTAGGCTGAGAGTGCTACTAGTTGCTAAGAGCATGACTAGTCAAGTGTCTACTCATTTGTAAGAAGCAGTTAGGCCAAGAGTGCTCATAGTCCTTGGAGCAGTCCTATTTCATTGAGCACAGGAGCTCTAAAACTCAAGTCACTTTTATTATAATCATGTTTTACCTCCACTAGTATGAATGGTATTTTTATGTAGTTCACTAGTATTGAATAAATGTCTTTGAACAACACTTTTCTTGATTATCAAGTCTGCAGAGTGCTTCTATCATACTTGAAATATTTAAATTCAATATATTGGTGATAAGTGTAGAGTTTTAAGAGGTTTAGTTTGGTTGATTATTCATTTTCAGCCTACTCATCCTTTTACCACTCACTGTTACTGAGCACATCACCATGGAAAGTCCAGATCTTAGTGAGAGGGATATGATATGCTCTCAATGTGTTCATACATGTAATTTTGCAAAATATGAGAATACATTAAGTGTATCTAAGTCTACTATATGCATAAAGGCTGTTACAGCTAGCATGTGATGAACTAAGACTCAGCATTATACCTGGCTTGAATGATAATTGATAGAGTGCATATAGCAGAGTGATACCAGTTGAGTCCCACTGTGCATGAAGTCCCAGCACTTGGCACTGAATGCACTGATATCAGCATAGAGATGCATACTAAAAATAGAAAGAACATGATCAGAATAATGATTGAAGCTAAGATCAGTGTTTTGCATCACAGTGATTGATAATGCATAAATATGTGGCAGACAAAAAACATACTCTGGACTAGAGATAGAATATGCAGTAGTATAAACCCAAATAGTCAGATGACTGACCAAAAGAGATGATACTGGAGTAAAATAGCAGTCAGGAGAGATAAACCTGGCAGTCAGAAACAGATACTATTAATACACATTGTATTAGGCTAGCTCTAAATTCTGTGAATTTTAAACAATATATTCACATAAGCTGAAGTCTGTATGGCTAGCCATTCAAGAGCTATAGCTGAGGCTCTGAGCTGATAGCCATGCCATGTTAAGAAGGCTAAGGATCAATATGGACTTAGCCAAAACAACTTTGCACTAGGTTAGTAACCTTGAAGTCAGAATTGGACTTAGAGAAATAACATCACTATGGTAAAATGCCAAGTCAATGTGGACTTAGAAACAGTACCATGTTTGGGCCAATTCTAAATGCCATCAGGGTTGGTATACTATAGTCTAGCTCAGGAGTTTATTACTATGACTCACAGTAAAGTACAAGATTCAGCTAGCACCCAAACCAGGAGTAAAGCAAAGCAGAACTTATTAGCCCATGGCTAGCACACCAGGTCTGATGTAAAATGCATGGGGTGAGGATTCTCCAGGTATGAATAATTAAAGGGGCATATAGTCCAGGGGATGAGCCACAACCAGGGAGCTTGGCTGCCTTGGATCATCATAATTGATTAATCATGATCAATAGTGAGTCTGAAAGTAATAAGCAGAACCATGGGATGATCAATTATATAGTAAATATTTACAGACTATAGAAACAGAGCACTGAGAGAGTCCTGGATTGCCTGAAAATGATATATAAGGCATGCCAAGGCAGGATGACAATCTAGTTTTGAGACTAGCCAAGTGAAATGAGTAACTAGATCAAATTATTTACAGATTCTGTATCAGTTAGTTATGTATAAAAGCAGGATGAGGGGGGATCATGCAGGAGATGACCCATCTCTGTGATTTAGGCATTCTAGCTCTCAGTAGTTAGTCTCTGTATCAGCAGTTTTGTGTGTAACCTCAATTTGGATAGCTATTGTTACTAAGTCACTCTGTATTGAATAAGAATTGAAGTCTTTACTGGACTTTTGGATTTAGCATAATTTGGGTTTTGGCATCTGAGTATCAGTTCTTTGGTTTCAAGGACTGCTAGCTAGCCACAGATGCAGCTAGCCAAGTCTAAGTGCTTGAGAGATTTGGTATTGAATTTTGGCATTTATTGGGTTTCAGAGTATTCTAAGTTAAGCTGAACACTGTAGCTCCACAGTTTAAGTCTCAATTCACATACCATGTCTTATTCCTACCCTCTTTGTAAGCATTGCATCTTAGGATACAAACTAGCCTTGAATAAGCTGCCTTTACATCTTTATATTTGATTTATCTGAGTCTGCAGAGTGCTTCTATTGTACTCAAACCACCTAAACTCACTTGTATTGGTGATCATGCATTGAGTGGTTAGATGTTGGTGTCTGAGAGTTTATTTCTCACTTGTCTCTCTTAGTCACTTAGCTATTATCAAGCATATCATCATGTGAGGGCTAGTTACTTGAGGAGATAAGAAAAACAAAGAGACTAGTGAGTAGATAAACTAGCTGAGCTAGCCAATGTCAGATTGCTTGGAAACAGCAGATGTAGTCCTGAGTCAGAGCAGAACATATGCATCAAACTGTGTGTGAGCAGAAATGACTACTATAGGACTCTGAGTAGAAGTTCTGCATGTTAATAATACTATATTAGGTTGTATTAAAGTGTACTGCTGTAGAATAGTTAAATATTGTGATATAAAAAGTAGTATACAAGTTTCAGACCTCTACTGTTTCAGTGTAAAGACATGATGACATCCTTACACTTCAGCCTCTAAATATTGTTTGTAACTTTGGGCAAGAGAATAAACCACATATTGTGATCATTACAAGTGATTTAGGTATCATGTGAGGCATCAAAAGCTAATGCAGAACTTGAGTCTGATTTAAATAAACAGTTTTGAATTGTATTCTAGCCTGAGCATAAGAGAATTGTGTCTGGAGGGCACTCTTTTGAGTTTTTGAGATATTTGTGATGCAAGTCACTACATGTAGCAGAGGTTCAAACTCTTTGAATCTGTGGATGGGGTTTTATTGTCTCTGAATCCTATAGATTCAAACTCTGTGGCTCTTGTGGATGTAATTGTGAAGTATTTCTGCTTAGAGCACAAAGCTTTAAGTTATGTATTATATGTTAAAGTTTTTGAGTTTGGTCTGAGTATTGCTTGGAACTTTGTTGAGGGTTTTGTAGAACCATTTTAAAGTATTGTATTTCATTACAGTACTCTTGTCTTAAGGCCCAGTGACATTCATCACTCCTCTTGTTATACCAAAGCTTTGAAACTTGGAGAGATCTTGATTATATATATGTGCTATTGCTATTTTCACACAGTGGATTGTTGAAGATATGACTGTATTAGTCATTGCTACTTCTATTGCATTAGAATCCTCTAATAAACTTAGAGAGTCATATGTATATATTAGTGTGAGTGTCATCAGTATATATTACTATGCTATGTCAGTTTCTAGCTTATGCATGCAGCTACCTCTCCATCAGTGGAGTGCAGGAACCTTGGCAAAGCTATTAGCAATATCACCCTTGAGTTAGAGCTCAAAGAATTGTGACAAAACAGAATCTGTCAGAAGAAGAAAAGTTAGATAGAAGATAAAATATTCTAATAGCATAAAATCCATCAGACTTAGAGAAGAGCTTAGAGTGAGAATGAGATTATTGGGCTGAATTAAGTTGATATTCAAACTGAGTATCTACAGTAATTGTACTGAGCTTATATACTAATGGTAGCTAATTCTGAGTTAGAGTCTGATAGACTCTGACACTATCTACTCACTACTAACTTTGAGATGTAGAATTTGTGATATAAAATATAGATATGAAGGTAAATCAATGAAGAGAAGTGGTTATTGCTGAAGGCCAGTGCAATCTGATGAGTGACAGTATTATATTATAGGGTTTTGAAGTTAGTGTGAAGTAGAGCCATCAGCATGCATATAACAGTTCTACTATATACATCTTTCTCTCTTCTATTGCATATTTCTAATAAGAATTATAGGTAAAATTTATTGCTTGTTAAAATAAAACATAGATTTAACAATGGCATTCATTAGATTAGCAATAGCTATTTACTCAGAGTTCTGTCAGTGCTATTCTTTAATGCAATTTTTGAGTTAGATCTCTTAATATTCTTAGAGACTCAAGCACCTATAGAAAGAACTATTTTTTCTTCAAATTATACCTGTATTTTTCATCTTTTATCATCTCCTCAACTTTTAAGATAATAAACAGCATTGTTGAATAATATATAAATCTATGAATTCTGAGTATACAGAGTCTAAAGGCTTATCCACAAGTGAAAGGTATGCATCTATTGAATAGAGATAAATATCTTACCTGAAAGGCAAAGTAGACTAGGTGAAATAAGAGCCTTAGAAATATAACTGCAAGTCTCAATAACTCTGCTCCTATAGCAAACCCACAAGTCATAAATATTGTCTCTAAGATAATTATTATAATGAAAAATTTTATTATACTAGATTAGTATAAATCTCTGCTTGTATTTAGAAATAATATTTTAGAGCTACTGATACAAAGTCAGAATAAAATATCAGCAAAATCAAAAATATTATGTTTGATGTAAGTCTGTTATATAGATAGATATGCAAAATAGTATTAGAATCTGTAAGTTCTGAGTGTATAGAGTCTACAGATTCATCAATAGATGCTGATATACTATTATTATAATACACATCTTTTTAATGGAAATTGACTACTTAAATGTAGACTATATTCAGACACTTCATTAATCTTGCTTCAGCTTTTTTGTTGCATCTGAATATTGATGTGTCATTTGCAAAATCT